CACCTTAGGGCACACATGGGGCACCAGGAGTGACCCCGTGGGGTTCACAGGCTCTGCACCCCCCAGTCCATGCTGGTCCCACCCAGAGCAGCCCCAGAGCCGGGGGGACCCTCCCTCTCCCAGCCGGGGGTGGGTTCCAGGAACCTGTTAAAGCACTTTTCCCTCTGCTGGCAGGTCCCAGCATGTTTGGCACTTCCAGTTCTCCCTGCAGGCATCAGGGCCCAGCGAAGCTGTTTAGAATTAAAAGCCTTATTTCATTCCCACTGGGATCAAAGCACGCAGAGAGGGAGGGTTTTCAAACCAGCAAACCACATTTGAGCCCAGCTGGTGCACCCCAGGGCCCCCCCATCCCGACCCCCATCCCGGCATTCCCCGCTCACTCCAGCAGGCTCTTGGCATGGTCCCAGGGGTTCTGCTTGAGCCCAAGCAGCTCTGAACTATCCTGCTGTGTTCCATCTCCAAGGCTCACCTCACCCCTCCAGGTTGGATCAGTTTTCTCCAGCCTCTCTTGGTTGGTGCCTCAACCCCACTTTAAGATCCCATAAACCAGACCCATTCCCTCCCATACCCCTGTGGGTCACCCCAGAATCCAGCACCCACAATTCCTGACAGGACAACCTGGACTGGAGCAGGTGTGGTTTGCAGCAGGCAGGAACTTCCTTGACTCCATCCTCTCCTAAAGCAACTCCAGGGTGAGGAGGAGCCAGCCTCACTCCTTTCCTGCATTTCCCTCTGTCTGTCTGGAGCAGGCTCATTCCTGCCAGGAATGGGACATCCCTGTCCTGTGCCACCAGCAGCTCCCAATAGGCTCTGCCTACTCCAGAGCACATGAGCAGCCCTTTAAGCTTGAGGGCAATCCAGTGGCCCCCAGGAGCTTCTAGCTGCAGGTACAGAGACATGGAAACACAAAATCATTTGGATTGGAAAAGACCTTTAAGATCACCAGGTCCAACCATATTTATGGAGTGCTCAACCCTATCCATCCATATCCAACCCTGAGTTCATCCAGTCCTGAGTCCATGCTGTAAATATTGGACTAAAATCTCCAAATTTTTCCTAAGAAAACCAAACCCATCAGATCCCTCCAGGATCTGCTGGTGAGGATCTGTCCCAGCCAACTCTTTCCAGATCTCTTCAGCTCAGTCTGCAGTTTCAAACCTAGGGCAGGAATAAAGCACACGGGAGACAGCCAGGATTCCATAGGAAAAAAACCCTTTTATTTAACAATATATCAGGTTCCATCACGGCTCCATGGAGTTCAGCTGCCACAGAGCTGTTACCGATGCCGATGATATGCTACTGGGCGGGAGAGCTGGGAGAAGGCGAAAGGAATCAAAACCAGGATCATGACACGAAGAAAGAAAATCTGCGGCGCCGGGAGCGCGGCCGAGGGGATCCCGGCACCGCCGGAGCCCCACCGGGAGCCGAGGAGGATCAACCAGCATGGGGATGCCAAGGCTGGAGCCAGGATGTGCCCTGCAGCCGAGGAGGTGCCAGCACAGAGGGGCCTGGTTCCCCCTGTGCCCGGTTCCCCGCACGGTGCCCAACCAGTCCCGCTCGGCCCCAGCCCCATCCCGTGTGCCCCGCAGCAGGAGCACGTCCAGGCTCCGTATCCACCCCTGGGCTAAGGGCAGTGCAGGGTGGACAGGGAAAATCTGTCAGCCTGGCTGTTCTGGTGGTGGCACAGGGGTGGGGCAGTGGCAGTCCCAGCTGGTTGATGGCAGGGCCAGGCCCCTCGGGACAGGGACGGTGCGGATGTGACGCCGTGGGATGTGGAGGTGGCACAGCTCTGAAATGTGGGAGCGCGGCAAGGACGTGCAGGGGCGCGGCGCTGCCGGGATGGAGAGAGGGATTGTCCATCCCTGCTCCAGCACCTCTGGAACCTCCCAGAAACCCTCTGTCAATATAATGCAGGTTCAGAGCCCAGCTCCTGGGAGCAACTGGGAGAACTGGGGGCTTCCTGATGCCTTCCAGCTGCCCATGACAAGGGCCACATGACACCAGAGATGGCTCCAGGCATGGCTACCACCCCTGGGCAGGAACCCTGCACTGGGCACGGCTAAGGAGAAGCCATCCCAGCCCTGGCACCAAGAAGAGATGGGGCCATGGTAAGCTGGCAGTTGGCATCAAAATAGGCAAACACAAAATGGAATAGTTGGGGAAAGGGATCTGCACCAGGAGCAGCTCCACAGGCCCAGAAAAGCAGAGCAGGATCTCAGAATGTTGCATGGAGTTCTGCATCCCCAAGTCAGGGATTTTTTGGTTAAAGATAAGAAAGCAGATAAATTTGATGTCCCTTTAGATCACCATGTGGTCCCCAAGTCTCTGCCTGTGTCCAGGACAGGGCTCAGAGCTCTGGGACTCATTGGGAATGAGCCACAGATTCTGGGATGGAATAGAACCCCAGATTCCTGCCTCACTCTCTGCTTGGAGCCCATCTGATCCTGCATTATATCAAGGGCAGGTCCCCAGTCCCGATCCCGGCAGTTCCCACACTCCAGCACAGCCCACAGGCTCCAGGCTGAGCTCTATGACAATGTTTTACACCCGTTCTTGTGGTTAAAATTTCTTTTTTTTTCATCTTTTTTTTTTTTAAGTTCTCATTTGTTTTTCTAAGAAAAAGCAACCAGAAAATAATTCGGAGTTTATACAAAACATCTTTACATTATTTCTTCCAAAAAAGACTAGTATTTACACAAACAAAAGGAGGGGGGGCAGGAAACAAAAAAATAAAAAAAAATTTAAAAAAGGAAAATCAACCAAATTTCAATGCTTTCCAAGAAAAGAACCCGAGGGACACACTCTGATCCAGGACCCAGCAGCCCGAGGTGCTCAGCAAAAACCAAGAGTTCTGATTTCACCCTTTCTTCACATATTTACAAGATTTTGCAGCTGTTCCCAGCAGCAGGAGTGGGACTGATGGAGACCTCAGATGGGGACAAACACCATGAGAAGCCATCAGCACTGTCAGATCACTTTTGGTACAACCTGTGGCCAGACTCTGTCCCTTCTCCACCAAAACCAAACCAAAATTACATTGTTCCCTCACTTCCCCCTCCACTTCAGTCATTATTCCTAACGGATTCCACTGCCACTGTCACCATCACCACTGCCACCACCACCCAGCCAGGGCTCTTCCCACTTGGGGAAACACAGGCTAAGGTTTGGCAGAGGGAAGAGGGAAGGGATTTTTCTTAAGACACAATTCTCTGGGATTTCCCCACTGGGGGTCCTGGGGGGGGGGTCCTGGTGGAGGCGGCTCCCAGGCCAAGATGGGCAGTGTATCCCACAGAAGAGAGAGGGATGGAAGGTGCTACACGGGGGAAGCAGTGCTGGGATGGGGAATAGGGCGAGCACCCACTGGGGTGCATCTCTCCCGAGGGAAGCAGCTGGTTTGGGGCCCTGGAAGCAGAATCACGTCAGGATGCCAAGGGCAGGAGGGGAGCTGGGACACCCCACTCCACTCCAGCCCAAATTCCTGCCCTAAACCCAACAACATGACACCACAGGATGCTCCCATCCCGCTCAGGGCCAAACCCCAGCGCAGCAGCTGGGCCACCGGATCCCCCCGGGGCCACCAGGTCCCCCCAGGTCACCAGATCCTCCCAGGCCACGGGCCCCTGTCCCTGCTCTGCCCCCGCCCCGCCCGCTCCTTGTCAAGGCACTTTAGCAGAGCAGCTCCCTCGCTCTTTGGGCACTTCCTAACGCGGGATTCGGGGCCCTGGGGACAGGCGGGAACAGCCCAGGCAGGAACAGCCCTGCCGGCCCCACTCCTGCTCCCTGAGCAAAAGCAGCTACTGCTGGAAGGAAAAGAAAGTGAGGAAGGGGGGACAGCCCGAGGACAGGCAGTGACAGGGCACTGCCAGCCCTGCTAGGCTCACTGGCATCAGCCACGGTGCTGGCGGCTCCTCCTGGGAAGAGGAAGCTGGGAATGATCCCACCAGACAGGCTCAACCCCTTCCAGTTTTGGGTGGGAGATGGGCAAGGCAAGGGCAGGGGAGCCTGGGCTGGAGACCCCCAGGAGGAGGCAGGACAGGGAATGCTCCTGCACCAGGAGCAGGGCAGGGAACAGGCACAGTGGGGCTGGTCCCCAAATCAGGTCCCACCAAGGGGCACTGGATTCTTCAGGTAAACCAGGAGGGTGAAAAAGCCTTTGGCTCAGCTCCCAACCAAGCCAAGCTTGGTGCTCCAGCCTCTTGGGGGCTTCCAATCCCAAGCACCAGCCTCCTTCTGACACTCCTGGCACAAGCTGCAAGTTGGGAACCTTTGTTTTCCAGTTTTCCTTTCCAAGGACAACCACCTGCAGTATGCCCAGCTTGGAAGGGGGCTGCAGCTTCCCCCTGCCACCCCCTACTTTGCTTCCAGCAGGCTCAGCCCCAGCCCGATGGAAAGCCAAAGGCTTTTTTCCACAGTGGGATGCTCCAGAGGGGTTGGGAAGAGCTGCCAGGCCACGGCTGCTCCGCGTGGGGCAGGAGCAGTGTCCAGCCCCTCGCGCACTGAACGCTTGAGACAGGGTGGAGATAGAAATTTTTTTTCTTTCTTTCTTTTTATAAAGAGACTAAAACAAGAGTCAACAGCTACGAACACAAAAGTTTCCAGGGGCAGTGGGAGGAGCGGGATCTGCCCCGTGGCCGGCAGGATGACGTGCTGGAAGGAGGTGATGGCGTGTGCCCAGAGGTGGCGGGCCGGAGTCCCGCCCGGAATTCACAAAAATAAAAATGTTACAAAAAAATTAAAATAATTATTATAATAATAATAATAGTAGTAGTAGTAAATCGGGTTTGCCAGCTTCCTCCCTGCACAGCTGTCTGCATCTTGGCACCATGGCAAAGCATCCTCCTCCTCCTCCTCATCCCCCTGTGCGCTCGCTGCTCCTGGGACCGAGGCCCCGGCGTCGCTCCAGGCTCCGGGACCCTGCGGTGCTGGCGGGCACTTCCCACAGGCCCGGAGGGGTGACGCGGGGAAATCCCAAACCACAAAGGGGAGGTGGAGTCTCCGGGTTTGCCAGCGGTGTCCCGAGCACAGAAAGGCACGGCGCCCGCCCCCCACGGCCGGCCACAGTCTGGAGAAGAAGAGGAGGAGGCTGAAGGCTCACCCTCAGAGTCTTGGGATTACAAAAGCTGAGAACTACAAAACTAAATACAAAGGGGAGAATCAGCACGTGAGCGTTGAGCCCTCCGCTCCCCGGCGCCGCTCCCGGCGCTGCCCGCGCCGTGCCGGGGCGGGGGGAACGTTTCGCTTCCTCCCTGCGGCGCCAGCCCCGCGCCCGGCGCTCCCGCGCTGCTGCATCGGCCGTTCCCAGGCTGCTCCTCACACCTTGTAGTAAATGTTGGCTGGGCTCTGCGGGGGCATCTCCTGCACGATGTAGACGGGGTGCCCGTAGTCCCCGCTCACCTTCTCGTAGTGCGGGCAGTAGTTGTTCTCTGTAGTCCGTAAGGGGATGATGATGTCGCTGGGCTCTGAGCCCGCGTTCCCGCTGCATTTGGGGCTGGCCAAGGTGCTGAGGGACAAGGCTGCGGCTCGCTGCTGCGTGTGCTTCCGGTGCCTCTTGCGGATCTTGATCAGGAGCACGACGAGGAAGATGATGATGAGGATGAAGATGACGCAGCCGGCGCCGATGGCCGCGAACACGGCCACCTTGGAGCTCAGGAAGCCATCGCTGGGACCTTGGGTCTCCTGGCCATCCTGGTTGACGGAGCCTGCAAGGCAAGGGGAGATGGGGGTCAGAGAGGCAGCCAGGTCTGTGCTCTGTCCATGCATGGATCACACCTGTGGAGCAGGGGGATGAGTTGCTCATTGGAGCCCCTCTCTGCCCCCCGAACTCAGCACAACATTCTCCTGCCATGCTCCCAAGGAGGGGAGCCCCTCACCTCCAAGGGGACAGCACTTGCTCCCTACCTTCCCACCCCAGTCAGACCCACACATCCCTGGGAAGGACTGGGCAGGGCAGGCAGGAGCCCCAGGCATCCACAGAGGGGGCACCACATGCCCTGTTCCCCATCCTGCACCACTGCTCCCCTTCCCACCTCCCAGCTTATGGAGCAGAGTGTTGATTGTGTCCAGGTGACACCATTCCAGACCAGGATGCCCTGGTGGATGTGGACTCTGACACCCAGAGCCCCCCAGTCTCCAATTACTGACCCCTGGGCCGGGGCAGCTGCAGCCCCCTACAGGGGCAGTGCTTGGAGGCTGATCCAGGCAGGAAGAAAAGAAAAACTTCCCAGATTCATCTGACTCCACTTTGCTCTCAGAGGGGTCAGGAACTCAGGAAACCACCTTCAAAGGGCTCTCACACCCAAGGACCTCACCTTCTCCAAGCCCTCTCAGATGTGCTGTGAGGAATACATGGGAGGAGGAGGAGGAGGAGGAAGAGTGCTGAAACAGCACTTCTCTGCCAAGCTCTGCCAGGAGCTGGGGAAACAAACCCGAGCTGCTCTGCAGCCTGGGCTCAGGACAGCAGAGATGAGCACAACACTTAAAGCAAACCCATCCAGCTCCCAGATCCGGAGAGTCTGGTATCCCTGGGATCCATGCAACAAGCTGAACTTGGAGGTGCTTCATTGGCCCCATCCCTCTCGTGGGGATCCCTGAATACCCACCTGGCTTGCCAGGCTCCTCCACTGCTGGGACCTTACTGCGTGGGCTCTGCGTGACGACCTTCACAGTGTCATCTGACTCCTTGCTCGGCCGACTCGTCGTCAGCTGCTCTGGGATCACCGCGTTGGGATCTGGGAAAGGGGAGAGATGGATGAGAAGCCTTGGTCCAACCTGGAAGGCAGCAGCTTGTTCCCCCCTAAAGAAGTGCCCCCAGTTGTCAGCCGCTCCCATGGGGCACAGGAGCACTGGGAGATGCCGAGAGCAGCAGAGCAAGGCTGAGCTGCTCCAGGGCTTGTGGGAAGCAGGTCCCCACCCTAATTCCCTGGTTTGCTGTTTTCAGAGCTCCCATGCGTGGGCTGGGACAGGTTTCTTGCTCGGGCAGCAGGAGGAAAGGAAGGGAAGGGCAGGCAGGAGGCCAAGGCTGCAGCACAGCTTTGCCTGTTTATTATAAATATTGGCCCCAACGTGCAAACACAATAATGAGAAGCAGAATCGGGAGCTGCGCATCCGAGTCGGGGCTAAAATGAGGCCGAGGCATCAATGGGGCTGGGAAGCAGCTTGGGATGGAGATGGTGGGGAGCAGGAACTCCAGAAGAAGAGTCAGATAGTGATATCCCTGCTGTCCCACTGCCACCAGAGTCCCCACAGCCTGGTGGCCTCCAGAGCTGAGAGCCACCAAGCTCAATCCCTAATGCCTGGCCAGCTACAATCCCCCCTTGGATGCCCAGGAAGTCACAGGGGCACTGCCTGTGCCAGCCCCCTGAGACACTTTCAGGGCTCATGGGTCCTGTGCTGAGCTCACTTCCCGCTGGGATATGGCCCACGAGGTAACCAGGAACAATCGCTCCCTTTCAATCCCAGTGCTCCGCACATGCGCCATGTTGGCAAGAGAAAAGAGGCAGGAAGAAAGGTCCTAAAAATGAAATTCTGCTGAACTAACCCAAGAGTGCTCCCAGGAGCAGCTGGCCTGGCCTCAGTTTCCCTGGAATCTTGAACTCCCACATCCCCCAGAGGAGCAGGGTTCAGGGGGCAGCAGGAGACCCCAGGGAACAGGAGGACTCACCCTGCCCCACTTTCATGACAATCTTCATGGAGCGTGTCTGGCAGACCCCTCCTTCCCGGTTCTCCAGGCCATCCAGAGTGCCGTTGGAAGTGGCTGCAAGAAAAGAGAGGGAACGTTAGACAGGTTCCTGGGAGCTGGAAGGACACTGCTGGGCAGCTCTCTGCTGTTCCCTGGCATTACTGTGCAGGTCCTCACTGTCCCCTGGCACTGCCAAGCAGGTCCCAGCTATCCCCTGGCACCTCCTACCCCAGGGATTCACTCCTGACTCCCCATTACAGCCACATCTTCACACCCCAATCCAGAGCCCTCCGAATTCCCAGCTCCTGCTCCTTCCAAATGTGCCTGCAGCAGTGAGGACATGATCCCTGCAGCTTCCTCTCACTGCCACATCCACACAAGTGAGCCATTCTCCATGCCTGCACCCTCCTCCCCCTTTAATTCCTGGATAATTTCCTTTGCTCCTGGTGCAGAATGGGAACACTTGCATATGCACAGTTTAAATTATACATCTCTAATTACACCCTGTGCCTCAGTGAAGAATGTAAACTCAGAGCCCCAGCGGACTCCGGGGGCTCTAATTGCAGGGCAGAAGTCACTTAAATTCACATTAACTTTTCGTTGGAGCCGGCACGGAGTTTTCAGCCCTTGGATCCCATGGGAGCACAGGGAAGATTCCCCCCATCCTCCAGCTCTCTGCAGGGCCCAGGGCAGGGGGGACACAAGAGAAAATAAACCCAAACACAAGGATTTCAGGATTAAGCACCTAAATGGCAGATTCTGCTAAACAGACTCAAAAAACTGGTTTCTGACCCCACCAGGGGCCTGGATGTGGGCACTGTGCCTGGCATGGAGCTGGATCTGCCCAGGGACCAGGATGGTTCCCACCCCATCACCTCCCTCCATCACAGCAGACACAAAGCATCCCAGTGCTCCACCAAATCTAACCACAGGGATCAATTCACCCAGGGAAGCAGGGAAACCTGGGAGGAGCTCAGCAACAGCTTGGGGAAGGCAATGTGATGGAGAATCATGGAGTCCAGGGATAATTTTCCAGACACAAGGCAGGACTTGGCCAGCACAGCGCAGCCAACACTTCCCAGAGCCTCAAGTCAAAGCTCAGCCCCAGGGTTTCAGGTTCCCTGTGCAGCCCAATTCCTGCCTCCATCCTGCAAAAAAGCAGTTCTGGGAGGGCAGGCGACTGACAGAAATTTGGGATGAATCCATTGGACCCTGCTGGGTGTTGGTGAGGGGACAGGAAGAGGCTGGAGTACACAGCAGTGAGGCACCCAGCAGGAGGCTGGGTGCCTCCATGAGCCTCCACGCTGGGATAAACTGGAAAGCACACCCAGATCCCTCCAGGAAGCAGGCTCCAAGTCCATCAGCTCTTTCCAAACACCTCTGTGCAATCAAGGCACTTGCGTGAAACTCCAGCAAATGTTTTCCTAATCAGAAAGTCCTTGGGCCATTTGCTGAGTTAACACCTCTCCCACAGTGGGGTCCCCCCTGCCAGCGGCTCCCGGGATGGAGCCGTGCATCCAGCTGGGATGGTGCATCCAGCTGGGATGGTGCATCCAGCTGGGATCTGCTGGCAGCCCTTCCAACAGCAGCACTGTCAGCACCAAGCCCCACGCAAATGCCTGGGAATGTGGAGAAACGCCCCTGACAGCCTGCACGAGTTCTCTGGAATCCAAACAGGATGGACCTGAGCTCAGACTCCCCATAAAAACACATCAGGAGTGAACTCCAGCAGAAGGCTCGGCAGCCCAGTTCTCCCAGGCCGGAGGTGCTGGTTTGGGGGTGAAATCAGCAGGTACATCCCAGCTCACAGCCCTGAAGCAGCTCCTTGAATTGTTTCCCAGCTTCCCAGCTCCATGCCACGGGTTGCTGCATCTCAAAGAGACTCATCCATCGAGGGAGAAGGCAGCAGTCTGTAAAAACCAGTCCCTGTGAGGCCTCAGGAGATCTGATTTATAAATAATTAACTAATTGTAACAAAATGTGGTAACAAGCAAGCGCGGTTCAAGTGGGGGAAACCAGAAGACTCCACAAAGGCAGCAGTTTCTCCAAATAACTATGAAGACATTCCATCCACATACAACAAAAAATATTAAAGGTCCAAAGAGGACAGAGGGAGCAGCTGGAGCCACAGGGATGGCAGCTGGAGCCACAGGGATGGACGAAGGGACACAGCTGAGCATCCCTCTTCCCACCCCACACTTGGACACAAAGTTTCTTCTTGTTCTAGCCATGGAAGTGATGAGGGAGAAAGTAGCTTTGAGAGGGAACCACGTGGAAAAATTAATCAGTTGCTTGAGGGAACAAAAAAGGGAAAAACATTTGTAAAACCCACAGTGATGGTCTTGGAATGGCCTCTGGAAACAAGGACATGAGCTTCCACATTCTGTGTAAATCCACAATGGGCCAGAGAGAAGCTGGATGCTCCATGCAGCTGGTTGGGCTTCCAAAAGTCAAAATCCAAAATCCCCAAATCCATCCAAATGGTGCAGAGTCCAGAGAGTTGGATGTGAACATGTAGGGCAGGGTGATGTGAGAGCAGCAGGTCCCTGATCCATTGGGAAAGGCTCCTCCAGTGCAATGCCCTGTGAAGCTCAGCGATGAAGAGCTGCTCCTCCTGCTCCGTTTCCTGCTTTCCCAGTGGAAGAAGCTCCAGCAGAAGGCTCCATGCTCAGCTCAGCCCAGCTCCAGAGGATCCACACCGGGATCTGGGTGGCTCTTGATGGATTCCTCAGGTACCTGTGCCACTCACTGCCACGGTTAGGGTGAGCTGTGGTGACACCACCAATCCTCAGCTGCCGATGGAATCCAGAGTCAGCAACCCACAGAGGAAAGCGTTAAATCCACAGGCACGGCTGCAGGAGAGCTGGGAGAGCCCCGAGCTGCAGAGAGGCAGCTGCAGGGCAGCAGCAGGAGGCAGAGCTGTGACACAACGAAGGAAGCCAGGCAGGGAGCTGGGCACAGCCATGGAATAGGAAATGGCAGGTCTCAAAGAACACTGTCACCTCCCCATGCCACACCAGCAAGGCTCAGTCCAGCCAGACCCAGCAACACTGAGCACACAGGAGCATTTTCCTGCCTTATTCCATTTTGGATGGATTCAAAGGTTGTCTGTAAGACTGGGAGAGCAAAAGTAACCTCTGGTCAGTGATTTCCAAAGGCTGACTTCCAAAGGCTGCTCCCAGCCCAGAGAGCCATCAGATGCCTCTGCCCTAATGGAGCATTAAGCCCCGGGCTGCTGAGTGATGAGGATTTAACAGTGATACCATTAACCATGTAATTGCTTGTCAATTTAGAGGAGATGCTCAGCCACCATGGAAGCCAGGCAGGACCTCCACTCCTGGAATCCCACACGCCCACCCAGCCCAGTGACACACACCATGGAGCTGGGACAGATGGCTGAGATCCCCAACAACCCCATGGTCCCGTCTCCAAGCCAGCAATGCCATGTGCTGTCCCTGCTGCCTCCTCAGCGCCAGCACTCGGTGTCACCAGAGCTTTTCTCCCTCCCCTAAAAATATTTCAAAGGAGAACTCGGGTTTTGGCAGATGGGAGACGCTGGAAGTAATACCTGGCAAGAGATGAAGGCAAGGGTCTCTTAAATGGTCAGCCTTGGCCAGAGCGAGATGTTTGGTTTCTCTGCTGGATTCCCTCTAGCAGGGCTGCGTTATGATTTGGGCCCCAAAGCACAATTAATGTGCTGAGACTGTAGCGAATCCAAGTCTCTTTCCTTTTATTGCTCTTAATCACTCTTCCATCTGTGCAGCTCAGCCCTGCTCCAGCCCCAGCCAGGCACGGCGTGGCCGCAGCCCGGCCGCCATCCCCAGCACCCCCTCACCCCCAGACCTGCACGAGGTTCGTGTTTCCATCACTTTGGGAGCAGTGGCAGCATCTCACCAGTGCCCCACAGCCTGACCCCAGTCCTGCCAGGACCACGGGGGCAAGGGGCAGCTTGCAGAGCAGCCTGAGCCCAGCCTGGACACCCCGGGCCTGAAAGCCCCTCCTGGCACAGGTGAAGCCCCTACAGGTCACCCTGGAGATGCGCCTCCCACATCTCTGATGTGCTGGGACACTGTCAGAGATCCCTGCAGGAATCCACGAGCAGACTGCACTTCAAATAAAATCCCAGCTCCTGCCACCTCCCCTCTCCAGGTCTTTCAAGCTGTTTTACACCCCCTCAGTACCGACACAGAGGTGCTGCACTGGAGCCCAAACCACCACGGGCACTGAGCTCCTTCCCCCCCATCCCAACCAGCACTGGCACCCCAGGGGACACGGAGCCACTTCCAGGTCACCGAGCAGAGGCACCCGCCTGCTCCACTGCACACCAACTCCCTGGGGCTGCCGGGGAGCACAGCTTGGTTACAGCCTCTGCTCCTCCTCCTCCTCCTCTTCCTCCTGCTTCTCCCAGACATCAGGGCCATGCAGCTCCGGCTCAGGGCATCCCATTATTGGTAATATTAATATTAATGTCAGTGTCACTTCCTAGCCAGCCCCACTGTGGGGACACGAGCCCCCACCCCAACACATCCCCCAGCCCCTCTCCTGAGCTCCAGCACACCGGCTGGGGCCGCTGCCAGCGCCGGGGCAGGGGCTGTGAGGAGGGAGCCCACCCCACGCTGTCACACTGCCAGCGGGGCCGGCAGCCGCCTTCCAGCCCTCTCCCAGCCCTCTCCCAGCCTTTCCGAGGCAGCTGCGCCGGGAAGGGGCCCTGCAGCCCCTGAAATGCCTGCGTGAGCCAGCCCGGCCCTGTCCCGTCCCCGCACGGCGCAGGAGGTGCAAGGCTTGGGTTTCACAGCCACTCCTGCCAGCTCCAGAGCTGCTCCAGAGCTGCCCCAGGGTCTGGCATGGAGAGAGAAGGGCCTGGGGGCTGCTCCAGTGGCGCTGCTGACCGCGGGAGGGCCCCTCTGCTCTCCTCCCTGCCATCAGGGCACTGCCATGCCATGGAGCAATGGGGATTGTTGTGTCCATCCCCACAGCTGTGCAGGGCAGGTGAGGAGCCTGTCTCTGCAGCAACTGGGAATCTGAACACCCCACCCCACACTCCCTGCTCCAGCAAACACAGTGGGAAAATCCCC